AAGTTTCTGTTTTCCCGAAGTGGTGTTGAGTTAAATTCTGCATTTCTTAGGTAGGTTTTTATCTCTCAGATGTGATGTGGTCTGTCTGCCTGCATTCTCTCCTCACAGTGTCCTCATCCGCCCTTTTCAGGGATCTGGAACCAGGCGACTTCTGGCTCCTCCCCAAAGTCAAAATGACTGGGAAAGGTAAATGTTTTGCACAGACTCAGGGAGCCTTGACAGTGTAACTAAAGACACAACGGAGGACTCCCAGCTTGCTTTAGAATTGGCAAGGATGATGCACTAAGTGTGTCTGAGGTGAGGGGACTTACTATAATTCATTTCTAAGACATTTTAAATACTCACTCTGTTTTGATCACACCAGAGATACACTCCAAACAGACACACTGAAGCTGATGAATTAATGAAGTAGTACAACCTGATGAAATGAGCACTATTTGGTCTCAAGCTATATATATTTCCTGAAAGTCAGTCTGGTTACGTGTGGAGTGTGCTTGTGTCCGTGGGTCCTGGGTCCACGGGCATGAATTTGGAAGATTTACACATTGTTCTTACCTTGGTCAGTGACCTCCATCACCAAGGATATTGGGTCTTCCTCAGTAATTGTTGTACTCCTGTCACGCTTTTCCGACAATTACATCAAAACAGGGCTGATGCAATTAGGACTGCCCGTTGGAACAGAAAACAGATGCTAAACGATCATTTGACAGCAAATGACCTGAGAAAAAGTGTTGCAAATGGAATAACTATAACCAGAGCTTGTAGCGAGCTTAAACACAGAATCGGTGTGGCAAGAAGTTGGTGACAAGGGGTGAAAATTCAGCCTGGTTTGGCTGTGGGAGTCCCCATGCTCACCATGTGCAGGATGGCGGTCATCAGGGCCATTTCACAGGTGGTAAACGGTGTGGGACAAGAGGGACACATCTTAGGATGCAAACTCTGGTCTACCTGAATCTTCTCTAGTGCTCACCATTTTGCTAAACAAATAACCGTGATATATCTGAAGGAATGGACACACCCAGGTGCACAGATACACATGTGTGCACACACACACACACACACACACACACACACACACACACACAGATGCCCACATGCACACACTACAGCCTTAGAGCCTTCTGGTTGGGAACAGTTCCAAAGAATCTAGGAAATAAAGATATTTTCAGAGATTTTTTAAAAAAGCAGTTGGTAACAATGTTGTTGCACATTGATATTGTGCTTGAAGTAGAGGACAGAAGTGGAAAGAAAACCAAGAAGCCATGTGGCATTGTGGACGACGATGAGAAAACAGGGACAGGAGACCTGCCTCATCAGATGCTTCCTTTCTAATTGAATCTACCCCATGAGAAAAATGTTAAATACCGATCATATATTCCTGTTACACTAGGATTAGACACAAGTTCTGTCTACAAACAACTCCGAGAACAGCTTCTTAGTGGAGGTGCTTAAGATAGTTCCTGCCAGATACTGAACATTGGCTCCTCTGAGGGACAGTCTTCTGCAAATTTCTGTGAGCTGAAGAGAGGGAAGGCAGCCAGTAGTTTGCATGACAGGTAAGAGTGGGTGCTGAAATGCAGGGCATTATCTAAAACACAGATCTCATCTCAGAGACGGTGAGATGGCAAATGTGACCCCTCACTGTTAGCTTGGGGCTAGGAGTAGGGTAGGAGGCAGAGGGGCTGTGCCTGATGAGCCATCAGCACCATCTGAGGAGGGAACACTTCCCTACTGAATTTATTCAAAGGAGAGCCCCCAAACAATTGTCCATGTACCCTGTCCACCTTTTTCTTGAAGTCCACCCAGAAAGGCTTGGGGTCATCTTTGGTCTGGGTATGAGTAGTGTTAGTTATGTTAAGGTGTCCTGGAGGAGATTATGAACCGCATATTTCTGTGATTTACACACTCTGGGGAAACAGGAATCACCAAGTCTTGTCCTCTGGGCATGAGGAATTTATGAAGAGACAGAAAAATGAGAGAAAAAGCACAGCCTACTGCTGAGTACAGGGCAAGTCTGAAGTGCTACGGAAATGGAGGGATGAGGGAGAGCGCACACCTGGGGGGGGACTTCTGGGGGAGGAGATCACAAAATAAGACCACTCAGCAAAGCAGGAAGCACCTGGCTTTGAGAAGAATCCCTGTTGATGGGCACAGCATAGGCAGGGCAGGGCAGCCTGGATGTGCAGATGCCGTGAGGGGGGCAGGCTGGTCTGCCACTCCTCTGTGGCAGGTCAGGGGTGGGTGTCTTGGCGGTTTTCCTGGGTTGGAGGTGAAGGCTCCTCTACCTGAGCTTCTGCTACCCGGGTCCCATGGAGCCTTCAAGAAAGCAAACGGTAAGGCTGTGAAGCAGTGCCTTTGACACGCAGAGAGGAGGTGATTTCCATCCTGCCAAGCTTTCAATCCCGAAGGAAGGTGAAAGAGTTTGGATTTTCATCCTCTCAAAACACGATTCTCAAACAGCCTTGATTGTAAGCAACAGAATACACTGTCACCGTAATGAAGCAAATCAAGAAAGAAGAAGGCACCGAGGCCCAAGACCTAGGAAACCTGGGATTTAACTGACAGAGAGGTGGGGCGGAGTCTCAGGACAATCCAAAGGGAGCTTCTGGAACACAGGCCAGCACTGTGGAGTGTGCAGGTGGGAAAGCCGCCGGAGGTGGAGCTTCCAGAAGCTGAAATTATTAGGATGCTTACTGCTTTTAAATACTTAAAGGGGGAATATCTGGCTCTCGGTCTGTTCTATGAAGAGCTTAGAAGCCTCCACTCCATCCTACAGACAAGAAAAAAACCCAAACAAACTAAAAAAGCAGACAAAGTGAAGTCACCTGGCAAACCAATGTCCCCCAAAGTGGAGAGTGAAATGGGCAGATTCGGACAATCCCAGCTAACTGAGCAGAGCTCACAGCAGAAACTACAGAAACCAGCACAAGGGTAGGAAAAGCCACCTGCAATCACTGAATTGTAGGAGGCCCCGTGCGCAAGGTTGAGAACTACAAACCCCAGGGAGATCCACTCGTAGGAGAGGCCCATGCATTTGGGAGTTTTACCTGCAGGGGTTCAACCAGGGGCCACATGGCGAATCTTAAAGAAAACCTGTTCATACTTCCAACGATGGCAGAGGGACAGGAGCCATTTAAAAATATGTCAGAACACTCTGTTCTCCTTCATGAGGCCTGCCCTCAGGAGAAAGTGGTTAACCAGAGGGTAACTTGCTGGGTTATCATCACAGCCTAACCAAACGGGGAAGGGTAATACCTAACTCCAGCCACTCTGGCTTTCTGTGTGGGGGAAAGGAAGTACCCAGTTCCTGCCCCCTCCAGCCACCCTGTCCCATGTAAGTGTTGATGGTGGAGACAGGGATTTGGAGAGGCTGGAGACTGGCATGGAGTTCCCAGGTTAGTCACACAAGCTGGTAACAGACTAAACCCTAATTGCAGGGCCATGGAACGCTCCCCTCCCCACACCTTACTCTGCACCACTAAAGGCCGACTTACAGCAGTTCTTATCCCCATTACATTTCTGGCTCTCAGTAAAAAAAAAAAAATTACAAGGCATACTAAAAGGCAAATTCATAATAATATTACAGTTTGAAGAAACTAAACAAAAAAGTCAGATGTAGAAGGAATATCAAAATAATCAGATCAAGAATTTGAAAAATATCTGTGATTAATATGCTGCAAAAATTGTCAGAATCAAAAGAGAGCTCCCGTGTCAAATCCTGACTAAACAGAGCTAGAAGGCCATGAAGGCAGGGTTCTCACACACTGGTTGCTTGATAGCAGAAATTATTCCAAGAGATTCCACTGAACCACAGCTTGCTACATGAATCACAAGGACAGCTAGTCAGATATCTAAGAACATTTGCTTGACGCACTGTCTTCACTAATAAACTGACATCACTCTTGAGATAAGTGCCCATAACCAGTGCTCTCTGGGTCTCAAGGCAATTTATATAACCCTCCTCATTTTGTCCTTAGAGGCCCTGCTTTCCTTTGGCTCCCTGAGTACAGCTATGGCTACCCCATAGTTTACCATGACACCACTAACCCAGATTGCAACGTACTGTCACTTCCAAATAAACTCACTATCTTGGGAGAATTTCTTCCTGTTCTTTTATTACACTGACAATGCTAATGGCTTTAATACTGAGAGGGGATGAAGATGACCAACAGGAAGTATGAGGTTGATTTAATATTAAGAACATAAAATTCAATCAAAATAGAAAAAAAAAAAGAAAATTATTAACTCCAGAAAAAGTATATTGTAAACACATGAATATTGATTTGATCAGACAACTTTGTGTCTATGGGAGGGCTCCCTGACAGTGTCAGTGAGGGGGACAAGGAGAAGAGGAACTGGCCCTGTGCATAATGGAGGGAATCTCATGGTGAGACAGGAAGCCAGAGACTAAGGAGGGGTGCGCAGAGCACCTCAGACATTTCAGGACTGGGTCACAGCGAACTTTAAATAAAGCAATCAAGATCATAAAAGGAATACAAGACATTTACTGAGCTCTAAGTGCATTACAAGTATTAACTCATTTAACTCACATTAGCCTTATGAGGTAGGTGGTATTGCTATTTCCCCTTACAGGTGGGGAAATGAAGGCACTGAGGTTTAATAAGCTTGCTCAAAAGTATACATTGAATAAGAAGCTTAGGGAGGTAATCCGACCCAGTCATCTGGATTCACAACCCATACTCATGATTACTTAGCCAAAAATATGCCCCTTATTTCATCATGTAGTCTGCCTGGCCATGGACTAACAGAGCACAGCAGAGTCAGGCAATGGACCACACAGAAAATTAAGGATAGTCTGAAAGATCAACCAAGCAACAAAGAACACCACCAACAACAGTATGACCAAACTGGGATAAAGGGACCCCTCTAGCTTTATTAAATTTCAGGGAAGAAATGAAGGTCACAGAACCAAGTTGGTATTTGCAGGGCCCAGAAATCCAAGCATTTCCCATGCTGGTGAGTCCCCTTCCTGGTTCAGGTCATTGGGTGGTGTACTTTTCCCACTTCTCCAGGTCATAGGGCTCCCAGCGGCTGGTGGGGAAGATGTGCTTGTTCTTCTGGTACCAGCTCTGCAGCATGATCTTGCCCTCGTGTGACTTGTCCTTCTCTACGGTGGTGTCAGTGAGCAGCCATGTGTCATCATGCACATTGAAGTGGAAAAGCACCCCGCTCTTGCCCCTGGCCTTGGTGACAATGAAGTCATGGAAGGTGTGGTAGTGGGGTAGGATGAGATCTTTCTTGATGTACATAAGCTATTCTAATCCACCACTGCAGCTCATGGAGGTCCTGGTGCAGACCCTGCAGGGCCTTCTTCAGGAACTGCTGCACGGTGCTGCCCTTGCTCATGTGCGTGGTGTGCTGGTGCCCCAAGCTCTCCCTGTAGCTGAAAGTGATCTCCATCTCCTCACTCTTCACCTGCTCCTGCTTGGCTCTTGCGCAGCTCTTCTAGCAGCCACTTCTCTTCCTCCTTGCACTCGAGGTTTGGCAGGAAGCTGGTGTCCACATTGGAATTCTCACCCACGTTCTTCTTGCTTGTGCTGGTCTGCACCCCATGGCCCTGGTCACCATCATCACCGTCGAGCTCATCAAGCAAGAAGGACAGGCTGGCGATCTCACACTTGCGCTCCTCTTCCACCGCATCTCCAACTGCAGCTTGTGCTCCTCCAGCTGTTTCCTCTGGGCCAGCTGCCTCTCCCACTCCTGCAGCAGAGCCTCCTGTTTGGCTTTCATGTCTTTCAGGGTCACCAGGCCCACATTGCTCAGCTTCAGCTTGACCTCCACAGCATGATAGTGGGCCTAGAACTTCTTGTCCACTTTCGACTTTATGATGGTCTCCTCGGCGATGCGCTGCTTCAGCACCTTCATCTGCTCCTTCTACTTATTATGCTTCCTGATGAGCTGTATGGCTGGGCCGTCCCACATGCTGCCCTTGTACTGTGCTATGCCCGCTACTCAGTGTAGCGGAGCTGCTCTCCACTTGTTCCTCTCTCACACCTGGGGCTTCTGGGGTTAATTCATGAATTCTGTAGCAGAGGGAAGAACATGAGTTAGAAAGGAACCGATATTCATGGTCTAGATCAGCACCTTACAGTAGAACTTTCTGCCATGGCCAACATGTTTTATCCTTGTGCTGACCCAGGATGGTAACCACCAACCACAGGAGACCAGCTAGTGTCACTGAGTCATTCAGTTTAAATTAGAACAGCCATGGGCACCTACAAGGCAGTGCAGGGCTGGGTTTTGGAGGCTGACCATGGAGAGGGATAGTCTGCAGAGCAGATCCTTGCCTTTCCAGGAACTGGCACCTATCTGTGTGCTCGGTGAAGCACAGACATGGAAGAGCCAGAGCAAACAAGAGTATGGTCCTGGGTTCACATACATGGGCCATAGGAAAATAGACTCTGAGTGGGAAATGTGCCCCTTGGCTGGACAGGCTGGCCTCGTAGAAGAAAGCAACCTTCTTCTCAGATGGATGGAGCTCCTCCAGGCACGACACAGCAACTAAGGAGAGAAGAGTCAAATGGAATCGTCTTCTGGGATGAGTCCTTGGGGAGTGGAGACTGGCTACAGTTCATGTTAATGTATGGGCAGGGAAGGCTACTGATCTAGGCCTCTTCTGAGGAATCATTCCTGCAGCGAGTATTTGACCAGCCCACCTTGTGCAGTTGCTAAAGTACACAGAAACTCTGTGGACACAGCTGCACTGGCGGTGGGAAACAAGGCATCCGAAGAGGCTAAGTACAAAGTTACCTTCTTGGTATTTTTGTCGAAGCAGAGTGAAGTCTCTCCCTAGCTTTATTCTACTCGATTTGCGTCAACCACCTTCCATCAGGACCAGTCCTCTCCTGGCATTGTCCTCATCTGCGGTCAGTCCACGAATGCCATGAAGAACAGAGACACTCTCATCCAGCCTGTCCCCACCCCTGCGGCACTCTGAACCCTTCCACTGTGCCCTGTGTGCCACGGAGCCTTAGTAAACTCTTGGAACCTCTGTTTACCTCTGGTCCTAGACCCGAGTCCAGTTCCAACCTGACGACACTACTTCTTCCTGCAGCTCCTTAAGGAGAGGTTGTTTTTCCTCTGATATTTCACACCTTCTCCAAGTGGCATGAGGGCCCATGTTGTTTCAAAAGCACCATTTATTTTCCTTAATACTTCCGGGTCCTCGAAAGCTACCTGGAAATCCCACTTGCTACGCTGCTGTTGCTGTCATCTTTGGAATTCGCTGTCCTCCTCCTAAATCACAGAGGACTGTTAGAACCTGGCTCAGCCACATTGCTCTTCCATTCTGCACCCCCAGGGGCATCAGTATGACCTCCCTAGCACCTGGGCCTCCCTGTTTCCAGTACTCTCTTTTCCTGCCCTATCTTGCTCTTCCACTAGTATGGCTGCCCCTAGTTCTTATTACTTCCAGTCAGTGACTTCTAAAACAGTCCCACCTTCTTTCCTCCCCAGTTATGGGCTCTGGTTCTCTAAATTCCAGCTTCTTCCTGACAGCTCAAGACCTCCCAGTATGAAGGCCCACACCTCTCTGTTATCATCACACCCTCATATGCTTCCTCCCTCCCCACCACAGATCGGACCTATTCCTGAAGCTCTCATGTTCCTTTCCTGCCATCATTCTCATCTGAAAGGACTTAAATCCTGGCTAAACTCATCCCCAGCTTCTAAGCTCCTAGACCCAGGTAGCTGACCATTGCTGCAGAAATCACTACTGCCCACTCTCACTTTAAATTCATGACCTCAAGCTGCCAAAGGAGATTCAAGATTATCCAGCAATTCTCACACTGCCCTAGCAGGTCTGCTCTCCTGATCTCCAAGATAATGATCTCTGGCACTTCCTTCTGTATCTCCTCACACCTTCCTCCACCCCAAGCAGGCTAGGAAACACTTACTGGCACACCACTAGATACAGGTCTTATGATGCAGGAGCAATTGATACTACAGTCCTGATCTCCAAAATGTCATATATGGATATTGCGTTCAATTAATCTACTCTCTTCTCCGGAGCACTTTCTTCAAATATGTCTTCATGCAAAAAGTGTTCTGAACACAGCTCATTGTGGGAAATTGAGTATCAGAGCTTCTTTACTGTCAGCCTTTAATGTATTAGTTTCCAGTATAGCTCCCCAAGAAGGGTGTAAAGTCTTTCATGTTTCTACATGAAGAATTGTAGTATTATTAAGTATTTCTTCTTAAAGAGGATAGCTATTAACATTCATTGAAACCAGTGCTTCATGGGGCCTAGAGTTTGGAAGAACTGGCCATGGCATGTATACCAGCCTTTCCTACCAGCAACGATGCTTGTGAAAACTACCTTAACAAGAAACAGTTCGTTACACGATCATAAAAGAGGGCATTTGCATGCCAAGAGGAAATTTGAGGACCACTCACCCAGTTGTTCAAACTAGAAATTTGAGGACCACTCACCCAGTTGTTCAAACTAGAAATTTGAGGACCACTCACCCAGTTGTTCAAACTAGAAATCTAGACATTTTTGTGCTGGTTTGCATATAATTAATTCTAGGAGACTATTTCACAACATTACTTCATCTCCCCTTATTTGGGTTTGTATCTGGATGTCCCCCAAAGTTTTATGCACTCATATGTGGAGATTTTGGGAGGTAGTTGGATCATGAGGTGTGACAAACATCAGTTGCTTAGTCCACTGAGTTTATAGTGTAACGTGACTTGGGAGGTGGAGCCTGGTCAGAGGAGGTGTGTCACTGGGGGCATGGCCTGAAAGGTCCTTTTCTTCCCTCCTCCTCCCTTGATCCCTCAGTGCTTCCCACTGGTATGCCAGGAGCTACATCTCCTCTGCCATGCCCCTCTGACATGCCACCCTGGCTTGGAGCCAGCTGAGTCTATGGACTGTGAGGCCTACAGACTGTGGCTACAGACTGTGAGCCAAAGCAAACCTTTAAGTTGTGGGTGTCAAGTATTGTGTCCCAGCAACAAACAAAGTAACTAAGACACTCCTTCCCAACCACTTGCCTTAATCCAAAAAATTGGCACTTTTCCCCACCTAAAGTTTTCTCACTATTGGCCTATAACTAGCATATTCTAATTCTTTGTTTGCTTGTTTATTTATTTGTTTTTTTGAGACAGGTTTTCACCATGTAGTTCAATCTGGCCTTGAACTTACTGTGTTAGCACAGGCTGGTCTTGAATTCATAACAATCCTCCTGCCTCAGCCTTCTGAGTGCTGGGATCACTGGTGTGTGCCACCATACCCAGTTATATTCTCATTCTTGTCTGTGCATTCTTATCTGTCTTGTCACCCACGATCCTCATAAAAACAATCTGACAATGCCACTCTTCTATGTGAAAATCTCCTCCAAATCTTCCTCATTTGTCCCACACAGTCCTTAAGAAGTGAACCCACCCATCATTTCCCAACACTCCAAACCATGCAGCATCCCCTCTAAGCTTCCCAGTGTTCCTGAATAGAAGATGCACTATTGCAACTGTTACCCCTGGACATACTTCCCGTCCTCCACTGGACCAACCTTTAGGGTCAGCTCAAATGTCATATCGCTCCTGGTACCTCCTAGTACCACTCCCACTAACCACAGACCCACAAAGTTACTGTTCTCTCTTAATTACCTTTATGACATTTAACACAATCAGTTTGCCTGGCCACCTTTTTTTTCAGTTATACAACTCATCAGCCACACTTAAGTCCAGTGGACTTCTGCTTGGTCACATCTATTATAATTGTCCTTCCTCCAATCTAATTAGAACCTGAATGTCAATACAGTCCCCAAACCTCATCATCCCTCCTCCTATTATATAACAGCTGCTGCTTTTTACATTAACCCCAGCCTCCAAGCTCCTTAGCCAGCCCGTATATTTTCATTGTTTTTTTTGTTTGTTTGCTTGCTTTTTGTTTTGTTTTTGAGACAGGGTCTCACTATGTAGTCCAGGCTGGTCTTGAACTCTGTGTGATCCTCCTGCCTCAGCCTCGAGAGGGCTGGGGTTACAAGCATGCACTACAATGCCTGGTTTAGCCAGCTTTTAGAATTAGAACGTTTAGCTTGGAACACTTGGAAAAGTTTAACAAAAGGACAACAACAAAAATATTCAAAGAAAAAAAAAAGAAACAGATATATCCAAGTAGTATGAAATCCTGATTTTTAGACTTTTCCCTATATTCCATGATGGGAACATGTTATGGCCTTGATTCTCAGTGAAAATTCCCCCATTCTAAAGGCCACAGCTGTAAACCCCTAAATGTTATCAGCAATAAGAATGGTGAGAGTGGAGTGAACAACACTCTGCCCCAATGAACAGGAAGTGCTTGCGAATATACAAATTAAATATATAAATTTTAATTTAGGGACAATGTAACCTCCTCCAGGCTTAGCCACAAGGTAAGAAAATATACAAACAATTGTAGTTTTAGAAAACATTCCCAAACTAAGTACTTAAACTATTTTAATAGGAGAAAACCTAGCAATAATAAAGTTCAACCAAGAACGCCTTTTAGTACAACTGGTATTCAAATTTTCTCCTACTAATCTGAATTTTGTTTTAAAATGATTACCCTGAAAGTGGCAGATGTATGGTATTGTCACCTCCAGAACCAGCCTGAAATGAAGCTGTTAGTGTTGGTCTGGGGTGCCTAAAGGGCCATCCATCTAGGGCATTCCTGGATTGCACCTTTACTCAAGGATTCTCCCAACACCATCACTGAATTCCAAACTAATTGTCAAAGCAAATCCACATACTCTTACATCAACATCAAAAGGAAAATCAGCACATGAGGGCTACAGAATTTATAAGGTAAGCTTGCAATGGCCATCTGCAGAGTCAGGGGTGGAAAAGTGCAAAAGGGCTGGCTGCATGCTGGAAATTTGAAGGATCCCATCAAAAGTCAAAGACCTGGAGCTCACCACAGAGTTCCGTGTGAGTTTGTAACAGGAGGTGGGAAGGTCTGCATAGGAAG